CTGTTTGGGTACTGTTCAGCGGTCTTGTCGTACAGTAGCTCAACGGGACAAACCGGCGCTTCTCTGACTGATTGAGAGTAATTTCCGGATTTTCCAATCATTACCTGCCACACATTTAATGCGAACGTGGGTTGCATTAAATGCGGACACGTTCTGGCTGAGCTAGACGTCCCATCGGCAATCATTTGTAGGCAAGTGGCATTATTTTATTGTGTCCGACGCCGTATTTCTGTCAGGAGCCGCCCTTGCGAGACTGGGAGCAAGGTGCCGACCTCGCAACCGCATGGACGCGGTGCCGATCTCGGAACTGGTTCCTCCCACTGTTCTAGACGACTTTGACTCTCATTCAGCTCGGCACCCATGTGCGGTTTTGGTGACCGGCACCTACGTTGGGTCCGGACTCGGATATCAACAAGTTTATTTTGAGAGTATAACATATTTCACAATAAATTTAACACATTTTCGCATAAAAATATGATAATTAGATTTATACTTTTCTCGTATAAAAAATATGTAATAATGTGACCCGTTTACTCAATATACTTGTGTGAGTGTCGAAGAGAGTTATAATTTTCAAAGAGCTTAATTTTCAGATTTTTCTAGTGTTAAATTTTATTATTAATACTTTTTCTTTTCTATATATTTTCCAGGGACATTCCTCATTCAAAGTTGTGCTACACGTGATTTGATTATCCTTAATTCGTAGACTCATTGCATGATCTGCACTTATTGATGGTGACCCCGAATTGTTTGTAAATCTTTAATTAGTCTTTGTGCCAAATCCATAATTTTGACCATAATCTAACGTTTGATACTCTTGATTAATCAGGATAGTGACCCCGGCCCACTCAGAGTGCCCTAATCATGTTAAAGACCTAGTTAATCATAGGGCTTTGAGTTATTCTACATCTATATGGTGTATTTTATTTTTAATTAGGTTTATTAAATAGTATAATTGAATTTTAAAACTTTTGATAAATTATTTACTATATAGATAATAGCTAGTTCTGTTGCAATTATTTTTTTCTCACATAATTTGAGTATTATATTGATTATCAATCAAATAATAATATATGAATTAGAAATAAACAATAAAAATCCATCGACAATTTGGATTATTCGCTATTTAGAAAATTAATGTTGTATAAGTTTTATCATATAACTTATACATTTTTTATCTAAATGTATGAAATTAAATATCATAACAGTATGATTAACTCAATACGTAAAGTGGATTAAAATTATCTTAGAAAAATATTTTATTATCTAACATATTCTTAAAATTAGGATTTTAATTCTAATTCAAGTTAACAAATAGTTTTAGATGTTTTCCATGACTTTGTCCGTGTCAAAAAACAATTCAAATATCTTTTTTTTTTTTAGAACATGCCCGAGCGAAATAGGATACGGTGAATTGGTGATCAAATCAAATGGCCGTTCAAATTTAAACACTCATAGAAGTTACATATCGATAAGTGTTACAATTTTATCACAAATGTGGAAAGTAGGAATTAATCATATATTTATAAGAGTTAAGAAGGAAATTTTCTTAAATATGCTATTACAAAACTTTAGTAAATCTTGTTATATAACTCCGTCCCTTATTTTTGTACTATGGTATTTTTGTTTTTGAATGTCATATGATCAAAATATATGCACATCATGAATCTACAATTGCCCCTAAAATATGTACTCCAATTGATTTGGAACTTTTCTGACCCAAGTCAACCTCAATACCATCTATAGATCACAAATATAAAATTGAAAACTATAATGAAAGTACAAAGCCTAATTGTTTCATCTCCCACTTTTTTTTGGACAACCATATAAGTCTGATTTTTGTATTTGATTATTAATAATTAGCATTCACTTCAATTTATATATATATATATATATATATATATATATATATTCACATTATACAGTTTTTATACATATTTCACATATTTTTTATTGGACCTATGACTAAACAAAATGTGCATTCTTTTTTCTTCTCTTTATTTAATTATTTATTTTATGTTATTCCATTCAAATATTCAATCTTGGCTAAATTTGTGTGGTCAAGGTCAAAATTGTCTACTTTCTTTCATGTTCTTTTCCCTTAAAAAAATTTGATTTAAGCAACTTAGTCCGTGGAATTTACTATAAGAATGGCCCAGTGAGTTATTAGGGTGGCATTTTAGAGCATTTCCAATGGGCTTTTAATTGTAGAATTGTGGAAGGAATTCAATAAAAAACGTCTCCAACATTCAATGTCTAGATGCTAATTATGATGATATGGCTAGAAAGAGAATGAATAAAATCTAGCACTCTTTTTACAATTAAAAGTCTTTCTAAACATGATGATTCACAATTTTTCTCCCACTAACTTCTTTTGTTTTTAATTAAAAACAACAAATTTGTTAAGAAAAGAAGCGTAACTGCTAGATAGAAGTAAACCATTGGAGACTCATTATGGGTTTAAACTTCTATTTGTTCCACGTCGATGAAAGCCCTTTTATTTAATTGTCACATATACTGCAATTGATGTTTATGGTTGGAGATGCTCTTAGTTTCTAGACGTGAAGCCAACATTGATAAAGTATGTTCAATTAAATTACAAACTCGCCATCATTTTTCTTCGGTTTTCTCTTTATAAAATTCATTTGAAATTTTACGTCATTGTTTAATTTACAGTTACACAATTTACATAATTGCATGTTTAGTTCTTAGATGTATTTTTATAATTTATATTTGAAAAATGAATTCGATTAACTGTTCGAAATTTATAAATAAACTTTTATAAAACTGAATCAGATTTTTTCTTAACCGAACCAAGCAATATTCGCAATGAGTTTGAGTCAAATAGGTCATGCATCTCTCTCAGTGGTCCAATACTGTAATCAGCCTCAACAACCACTCTTAATTACTCCATTAACCAATCAATGACTGCAAAAATTTATTATACACCAAAAATGTCATAATATAATTTCTTTTCATAGACAGTTGGAACATAATATAGGAAATCCACCCTACGAATTCAACAAATGCCACATATGTAATTTCCCTTATCAACTCAAGTTTCTTAATTCTCATAAATATTGTTAGGAGTTTTGCTATTTAAAAGCACAATAATTTTAATTAAAAAAAAAAAAAGAAAACTATTAAGGAGCTTTCATACTGCCATAATAATGTCATCTTGTACATGAAAAAGTAAACTAAATTATGACTTAAAATTTTAAACTCCATAAACATTTATAATTTGCAACATCACCAATATCTTGGTCATCTTGACGGAAACATATTTGTTTTTATGAATGATTGTATGGTTAATATAGGCAAATTATGAATGTGTCATTGAAAATAATATAAGTTGCGAATTAAAAAAAAAATTGCATTACAAGTTGAAGCCAATGTTTTACCTGTGTAATGAATAATTAGATATAGTTATTATAATTTGGTTTAAATAATGTAAAATGGAGTTAGGTTATCACAAATATGGGAGTTCTGTTTCGTTTGGTGACATGTTATTGTTGTGCATGGGTTCGCTTAGTGCGTGAAATTTGACTTCAAGCAAAGACTGTATATATGCAACTGTGAAAATAATATATTCATTAATTTTACCTATGTATGAATGGATAATCCATATAAAAATAATGTTATATTTTATTTTATAAATATAATTAATCTTTAACTTAAGTTGGGATTTTAATTAGTCTATTAGGTTTTGCTTTTTCTACCAATTTTTGGTTCCATAAGTTCCCTTATTATACAATTTTACCTAAAGGAATTTTATTTAGTCTAGAGACAATTACCATATTTCACTTATTCTGAAAAAAAAAATACATGTAGTAATTATTATTTCAATTAAAACTAGTTAAGTTAATTAAAATATTATTACTACCATTTTTTTTATTTTCTTTCCTACTAACAATGATTTGTTCCAACTTCTGATACTCTCACATCAGCTCGAGTTTAGTGAGCCGACCTCAAGACTTAACGAATCGAGCTTAGCTAAGAGTTCACAAAATTATGTAAAACTCCTATCCTCGAACCTAAAGAGACTAAACGAACTCGATTTTGACTTGTTTATCAAAATGAATTGAGCCTTAACAGATTGAATCGAGTTCACAAGTAACTATTTTCATTTAACAAATTTATATGCGATGATGAGAGCAATATCTCGAACAAAACTATTAAACGAAATGACAAGCGAGCCAAACTCGAGCTCGTCAAGACTCAACAATATAAGTTCTTACGCATTTTTTTTATCAAGTTTTTATTTTAACTATACTCCTTAAGGCTGAAGTTCAATTTATTAATATTGATAAACAAGACGAGTACAAATTAGTTTATCGATTCGACTCGATAAAGACTCAAGTTTGAGTTTACATATCATAAACTCCAGGTCAACTCAACTCAACTCATTTATACATCTGATCTGAAAGATGAAAGTAAGAACTTTCAAAACACAAAATAAAAGGGCAACAAGAAACGTATTGCGACTGGTTTTATAAGTTTGAATCAAACATCGCCGGTAAGAACACAGAAAACATGGTCAATTTTGGGCGGCTTTCGCTTTCCTTCCCCAAATAAGTCGCAAAAGAAAATTATAAACTCCTCTTACCTCTCACTTGTTCTTGCACCAACAAAACAAAATGCTCAAAAACACATGGAAAAATCAAAACCCACCAAAAAATAAATAAATCCATTCTTTATTCTAATCATCACCTTAATTATTCTCAAATAATCTGCCCCACAACAAAAGCTAGTGATTAAGGCACCATTATAATATTTCAGCGGACGTGCATCTTGTTCAAAGTTTCGGTTTTGTCCCACCCCTGCAAAATTTTCAACCGTTCTTTCTCCAAAATCAATTTGACTATCCTAATTGGAAATAAAAATCCAATCTTTACTTTGAAATTTCACTCCTCAAGCCGTGGGGTTCATCCAATCATGAAATCCCTGCAGCCCTTTTGGTAAAAATCGAAGAACAACATCTGTAGCAAGCGATTGTTGTCATGTCGGAGGACGAAGCCGACATTTTTAAGCTTCGTGTTGTTCTGCTCTGGTTCTTGATTCTAATTACAGGTAAAAATTTCTCTACAGTTAGTCACAAAGCTAGTTTTTTT